GTATGTATATATATATATATATATATACATATATATAGATATAAATATGAGAGTGTGTTTATACGTCTGTTTGTACATATATCCACACTTACCGGAAAGCAATTTCAAATTCTGGATCTGGATTCGACATGATGTGTGTAAACATTGCGAAATCGGCAAACGAAATCTTGCCACTGTCATCTCGGTCCACCATTTTGAATAGGACTTTTAACCTTGTAGTATGAAAAGGAAGGGTAATAAAACAAAGACATTAATTGAATTTGTGATGTAGATTTATTATACTCCATCAATTTGGAATCAAAGGCAATAGTAATCAATTATTGTCGTTCAAAAAGCCGAATCCAAAAATGAAATCTCTTGATTTAAAAGCCCCTAAGTACAGCGCTTGAATATCGGCATACCGTCTCTTATTGGAATGTAGGAGTGGTGCAGATAAAAACTGAATTGGTATTTTCTATGACGTAACGTTTTACCAAATTTGGGAGTGAGCAATAGATTCTCGGGAAGTCTGAACTAAAATAAAGTAAGCGATGCTTAAACCCTATAACCCTAAGAACTGGGATACAAGCGACATGATCACTAACCCTACAAAGTCCTTGACACATCTACAGATAGAAATTATACGATCCACCACTCAGCTAGTACCAATTCTTGCATCCGCCTTTCCACATATGTGTATGAACCTATTGACATGTAACCGTCGTAGTCGGTCTAAACCATCTACCACACTGTTACACTCCCACGTACCTTGCATTTTCAGCCTCGATCTCGGGCGTAGGTACCGTTGAGTCTCTGTGTGATGTGAATGCGGCGATGAAGCCGTCTATCGTCATGTAGTGCTGCGTGGGCATATCTGTATCGTGCGTAACGGGCATTCGATTGTCACTTAATCAAAGCAACGGCCCTATAGTATATGCCAACCGAACTGGTGCATATAGATTATATAACTGTATAGGACCTACGCCTAATTGAATCTACTACGCCTACCCCCCCTCCCGTTTACCGTGAGTGCGTACACCTACCTGGCTCTCGCGACGGTTGGTGTATGCAGTGGTTCTCAAACACGGCCTTGAGATCAGTCGTGGTCTCAGACGTCAACATCTTCTTGAAACTCGTGCGATCTAGCACCCACAGCGCCTGTATTGTACGGAGGAGAGGTTGACCACGTGCGTGGGATGCATTAGAACACTCACGGTGGTGTGTGCAGGCAACGGACAAGTGTGTGTGTGTGTGGTGACTCACTATGCATCGCATGTTCCGATGTGTGTCGATCAAATCCACCTGTTTGTGTGCCTTAAAGTGTGTGCGCCTTAGTGTGTGTCCTGAGATACCACCACATGCGCAGGCAGTCGCTGGCCAATTAAGCAGGCTTGCGTATGATCGAGTCTTACATGCATGCGCATACCCCACTGTACATGATGTGCTCAGATACGGACGCTCGCGCGCTTATTCACAGGTTTCTTTACATAACTATCTATCCATAGACATGTGCCAAACGCTTTGGCCCCGTCTCAGTCCACATCTGTGCACTTGGGAAATATAGCTGTGCATATTAATTGCGTGTAGGTGAGCGTATATGCCGTCCCAGTGTGTGTCTGTACACGTGTACAGGCACAGTCCTCTGCCTGTACGCTTGAATTACTGACTCTGCTAGGGTAGGTCAGGAAGGGCCGTTCTGTGTATTTATCGGTATAAACAAGTGCTCCAACATGCGATGATGCGCACAAACACACGTGCACATGCCTAAGCACACACATGCACACACACACATATATATATATATATACATATATATATAGCCATCACATGCACACGTACACACGCCTAAGTATACACACACACACACACACACACATAGCCATCACATGCACACATACACACGCTTAAGTACACACACACAGCTACCCCATACACACGTACACATGCTTTCTCCAAGACGCGCACACACACTGCTACACCCAGCACACCCATCCGCCCAGACACACTGCACGTACGGTGTCTTCTGTGGCCACCAGCGTTGCCCGTCTGTAACCTGTGTACATGAGCGCCAATTCACCGAAGCTCGACCCACGGTGGAGTGTAGCAACACGGATAGCCGGCTCATCAAACTTGTGGGCGTACACTTCACACTCACCCTCTTGCAATACGTAGAAGTAGTGGCCGTAGTCACCTATGGCACGAGCAAGGAAACATACACGTGAATGATGGTGTGCGGGTGGGTCTGTGCGTATACGTGTTACCTTTGCGCAAACCCTTGTATGTTGCGCTTGATGCATAGTATATATATATATATATATATATTATTAACTCATGTACACATATACATATACATATATATATATACATGTGTGTGTGTGTGTGTGTGTGTGTACATGAGTTAAAAATATCAAAGTTTCTAAGCATATATTGAATGCTTGTAGGACCATACAGGTGATTTGCCTGAAATACACGGACGGGTACATAAAGGTGAGTACACCTATTACTATCCTGTATATATCTACCCAAATTATGCTCGATGTACACACTTAATATATAAGGTGAGTGACTGGTACTCCTTGGTGGTTATAGAGATAGATGACTATGGGTTGGCTCGTGCTTCTATTGATTGTACATATACCCTCCCCCACTAATTGGTTGCATTCTTTCTCTTACAATGTTGATAACTTACATTTATTTTTACTATCCACGCACGTATCCTCACTTCAGTTACCACCACATAGCACGTACATGTGCCCGCATGCCTTGTATATGTATATCACAACCATTTATATACACTCGTTGTAGTCACCTTGATGGAACCGTATGCCGTTTACCAGATTTTTTTACGTGAAACGCAAACAAAAACTTGTTAAGACTTGCACGTACCTTGACGGAACAATATGTCGCCTTTCTTTACGTTTACGCGCATAAACGTATCCACCAGCTCGGCCCGTTGCTGATTCGAAAGCGATGCAAAGGCGGAGTTCTCGAACAAGACTTGCAGAATCATTTTGCGCTCCCGCTCCTAATTGAAATACAAAAACAAATAAAAATAAAACGTTACTAAAAACGTGTATACGTGTAGATTGTATTTGCGACAGCATACACGTATCGAAGAAAGTACGCATGCATATATATAGCAATGCACGAAAACATGTACAAATGGATATCCAACTGCAACCCTACATATACATAAATTTGTAAGTTGCCTGGTAATTCTCAGGCCTACAGCAGCTACACAACATATCCCTGTCTTGTAAGTGCCTATACATATCCACTGAACTACAGGCTATCTAGGCCAAGCAATATCTCCCTAACATTCTCGGATGGATTCAGAAACACGACTCTGAGTAAAGAGACGCGCTTAATCACAACGTTTTCAAAACGTTGCCTGTACTATCACCCTAACTGTGGCTCATACTCAGATCGAAGCCGGCCTTGACTGTGATGTATCGGCAGAATCATATGCATCTATAATTCCTTTACTGCGCACAAGTGTACATCTCCGTATATACTCTAACACGTGGGTTTTGAGCGAGCTACCCCATGTATATAGTCTTTAGATAGCTACGTGCCAGTCAACATAGCTAACATCTACATACATATATCTAGCTAACCTCTATATACACATATCTAGCTAACATCTACATGAACATATCTAGCTAACATCTACATACACATATGTAGCAAACATCTACATACACATATCTAGCTAACATCTACATACACATATCTAGCTAACATCTACATACACTTATCTAGCAAACATCTACATACACATATCTAGC